TTACTAAAGACAATGATTGCATATTTATTTTTCATCTTTCTAGATTTTGTATTAAGGATCGACGAATGGGAAAGATTTTGCACGAAGGACTGACTCAAAATGAGCTCTTCCCAATCAAAGCTGCAACCAATGTGAAACACCACAATTTTGCTGGATTTGTTCAAAGGAATTCTACAATTGATATTTGGCACAAGGGTTTGGGTCATCCTAGCTCTCGTATTCTAGATTTTCTTCTGAAAATTAAATGTTTCTCTATGATTGGTAGACGAACTTTAATGGATTGTTTGGATTGTTGTGTTAATAAAACTTGTCGATTGAAATTTTATCTTTCTAACTCTTTATCTCCTACTGCTTTGCACTTAATTCATACAGATGTATGGGGACCAGAGATTTCTTGTCGGGGTTACAGGTATTATCTGATATTTGTGGCTGACTATTCAAAATACACTTGGATTTTCCTTCTAAAGCAAAAATCTGAGACTGTTGACTATTTTTAAAAATTTAAGAATGTGGTTGAAAATTTTTTCGCTGCTAAAATCAAGTTTGTGCAGTGAGATGGTGGTCGTGAGTATGTTAATAAATTATTATCACAATTATTGTCGAAGTCTGATATTCAACACCGTTTGTCTTGCCCTCATACTTCTGAACAAAATAGAGTGGCAGAGTGCATGCATCGTCATATTCTTGAGATTGGTCTTACTCTCCTTCATCATGTTGGAATGCCTCGCCGTTTTTGGATGGAGGTTTTCTCCACAGCCGTTTTCCTAATAAATTATTTGCAAACTCTGAGTTTGGGATACAAGTCTCCATATGAAGTTCTATTTGGTACTCCACCATATTACAACATTCTACTAAGCTTTGGGTATCAATGCTATCCATTTCTTGGCTCTTATCGCTATTCTTTATGTGTTTATTGGATACAGGTCCCAACACAAAGGTTACAGGTGTCTTGATCTAGTCATTGGTCCTATTTATCTTTCTTGCCATGTTCGCTTTAATGAATCTATCTACCCTTTTGCAGGCTTGTCATTGGAAGATCAATATGCTAATAGTGACCCTCTCAACTATTGACTCAATCTCCCTCCTTCTACCTCCTTACCGCAGAATGCTTTCATTGTTCCCCCTATAGCACTGTTGCACCTCTCTCTGAGGTGTCCACTCTATTACAAAATGTTCCTCATATTCCCTCTTCACCAACTATGAATGCTTTCATTGTTTCCCCCTTTAACATTGTTGCACCTCTCTCTGAGGTGTCCACTCCATTACAAAATGTTCCTCATATTCCCTCTTCATCATTCCCATTCTTGCCTTCATCAGTTGAGTCCTCCATACCATCAGCCTCCTCTAGTTTTTCTCCTTCTTCCACTTTCACTCATCATATGATTACTCACACTAGAGATGGGACTCGTTGACCAAAAGTTCCCTTAATTATCTTGCCTCTCGGCATCCTCTTCCCACTTTCCTTTAAACCTCTCTTGCTTCATCTCAACCTATTGAACCCACATGTTATTCCATTGCTGCTATAGCTCCTAATTTGAGGGTTGCTATGGTTGATGAGTTTAAGGCACTTTTAAAGAATCACACATGGTCATTGGTTCCTACCTCATTAGCCTCTAATATAGTTGGATGCAAATGGGTGTATAAGCTAAAAGAATGAGTCGATGGATCATTTGAGAGATATAAAGCTCGCTTAGCTGCTAAAGGGTTTAATCAACGATATGGATTGGATTACGAGAATCTGGGACGATTAACCGGACATGGGCCCAGAAGCAGTTTAACCGGTCTAATTGGTAAACCGGTCGATTCAACCGCTCTAACAGCGCAAGTCCCGGGTGGTCAAAAAAATGTTGAAAAAAATAAAAAAATACAATTTTTTTTATGAAAATATAAAAAAACATATAAAAAACGATTAAAACAAAACATATTCAAATGAAGTTGAAAATGAATGAAAAAAAATGGATTTAAACCCATTTTATATTTTCTAAGGGCTATTTTTTTAAAATTTTTAAAAAAGATGGAAAAATATAAAGTGAGTATTAATGATCAAAATAATTTTTAATCTTTACCATAATGTAAATAATATTTAAAAATACATTACAAATCAAATTCCTTACTATTGAGAATTTCTATACATTATTTTGAATTTGTTTTTTAAAAATACCAGTTAGTCACCCTAACCGCCCAAAACCGGTTCCGATCTAACAGCGCGGTTAGAGGTTAAATGGGGCGATTTTGTAAACAATGGTCTTGTGGTTAAATCTCCTACAATATGATTGGTCTTATTCATTGTAGTTAATCGTGGGTGGCCATTAAGCAAGTTGATGTTAAAAATGTATTTTTATGTGGTACACTTCATGAAGTTATCTTTATGCATCAACCCTCGGAATTTATTGACAAGAACTGCCCTAACTATGTTTGTCGCCAGCATAAAGCTATTTATGGTCTCAAACAAACCCCTCGCACCTGGTTCACTGGTATTAGCTCTTATCTCCTGAAGCTCGGTTTCTTGTGTAGTTCATCTGACACATCCATGTTCATTCATCATGGCTCCCATGGACTTGCTGTACTCCTCTCATATGCGGATGGCATAATATTTACTGGGGCTGATTCTTTCTTTCTATCTACTATTATTATTAAGCTTCGCAACAGGTTTGAGGTTAAAGATTTGGGTGACCTACATTTCTTTCTTGGTATAGAGGTCCATCACTCTTCGTCTGGCATTCAGCTATGCTAAAGCAAGCATGCCATTGATCTCCTTAAATGGTTAACAATGCTTGGTGTGAAGCCTTTCTTCTCTCCAATCACTTCTGGCTCCAAGATTTCTCTCTCTGATGGTGATCCTCTTGATGACGTCTCAACTTATCGCAACATTGTCGATGCATTACAATTCCTCACAACGACTCAACCAGATATCACTTATGCAGTTTATCAGCTTTACCCATTGATGCACCAACCTCGCACCAAACACCTCATTGTGGTTAAACGCATTCTTCGCTATATCAAAGGGACTTCTCATTTTTCGCTATATCAAAGGGACTTCTCATTTTGGCATCATTATAGAAAGTTCTTATGATGAGACACTTCGGCTTACTCTGATGCAGATTGGGCTGGCTATCTGGATAGTCATCGGTCTACTTGTGGCATGTATGTTTTCTTTGGACCGAATCTACTGACTTGGGACACCAAGAAGCAACCTACCGTATCTCGGTCTAGTGCTCAAGCAAAGTATTGCGCCCTTGCTACTACAGTTGCTAATATTCAATGGATCCTCTTTCTTTTTCGTGATTTGCATATATTTTTACATCTCCCCCTGTGATTCATTGTGACAATGTCAATGCCACATATTTAGCATCTAATCCAGTCCTACATGCTCTCACTAAGCATATTGATATTGATTATCACTTCATGCAAGTACGTGTTGCCCAGGCTCATTATGTATTCGATTTGTTCCCAGCTTTGCATAAATCATTGATATCTTCACCAAAGGGTTATCTCCTACTCGCTTTCATCTTCTCAGAGACAAGTTGACCGTTCACTCAGTCGCAATCTCATCTTGCGGGAGGGTGTTGAGTGAGAGAGAGAAAGAGCATTTGAATTTGAAAGAAATTCTTGAGTGTTAACATATCTTTATTTGTTGTAAATATTGGCTGTTACATGTATCCTTTAATTACTCAGTCAAAGATCCTTATCAGTTGTTGCTGTATCATGTTATATATATTTTTGCTGTACCACTCTATTAATTAAGCATAATTACAAATTATCTTCAGTTTATATAGATTGAATTGCATTATTGGAATCATTTATTTCCCTGCTAAGTCTACCAAAGAAAGATTCCAAAGAAAAAAGTGGAAAAGTGTATAAATCGTTTTTTGAACGGGCATAGACAATTCCACTGGAGTGAATTGGCGATTTAAAGGGCCATAACCAGGTGCTGGTCTAGCCTAAGCAGGTCCCAAGAGGGTGTGTTAGAAGCGGTCCTAACCTTTGGCTTATGCACAAAGTGACCACTCTCAAGACTCGAACCTATGCTCTTGCCTTGGTTACTTGAGCTTTTTACCGTCGTGCCAATTCCACTTGAGCAAATAAGCAATTTTCTATAAGGAATTGTCAATTCCCTGGGGAACCAGCCGATTCCTGATATTTAAAGGGAAGCTGACTAGCTACTCCAATTTTGGGTCAAATAAGCAACCCGAATAGGCAATTTTTAAAAACTTGGAGAAACATGAAGAAGCTGGAAACTAGGTTCACTTTTTCTATTATTGTGGTACTTATATTTATTTTCCTACGTTTTTTTACTCTTTCATTTTTTTTTTTTGTTTGAAATTAAAAATTTGGAAGAGAGTCGACCTCCCAATCTTCCAAATTTGATGGCTATTCGGGTTTTCTACCTGGGGAAGTTTTTCTTTTTAGGGTTTACTAGAAATGGAACTCCATATTATGCAAGTAAGCATGGATTTTCATTTGTTTGCATCAGTGCTATCTAATCCAAGGGCATTGCCAATTTTGCACTATTTTATATTTGATTATGTTCACAACCTTCTGATTTTCAGTCAATTTGAAATATTTTCACTTCTACACACTTGGGCCTACCTAATTTGGGATATTTTCTCCTACAATGGCTTATTTGAAATATCTTGGGAATATTCCAAGGCCGGACTATAGTCAGGGTATGGATTATTACTTGGTATTTCCTACGGTGCACTAAAATAGTGTGCTTCAGGAACTTTCGGACTTAGAAATAAATCTAAATCGATATGGGAGGCGACTGTTTTAAGGTTCATGCCTTCTAGAAACTATATCCTTTTGAGAACAAGGAAAGACAAATTAGTTACTCGTGGATAGGGGTGGTAATGGACCCAACTGGACCGGGACATGACGGGTACACCCAACCCTCGAGTTCAGGTATAGATGGTAAGGTCGGGTTCGAGTCTATAATCTGAAAAAAAATACTATTCAGGTCTATGTCCGGGTCTAGTTCGACGCGACCCCGACCGGTTGGCCCCCTTACTTGTGAAGAATCCGAGGGCGATTTAATCAGTGCCAAACCATCATAAAAGGGCATGGTATTTTATATACGTACATATCGACTATAAAACATGCACAGACATGCCCATTTCTCTTGGTCCATTCTCTCTCTTCCTCTAATGGGTTCCACTCTTGTTTCCAATCTCCCCCTTAGAATTGCCCTTCTCTCAACAATTTTCTCTCTCCTAATTTACCAAGTTCAAGCAGCTTCTCTCTCTAATCTCTCTCATCCCCAATTCGAATCCCTATGCAAATCCACTCCTTTCCCTTCTCGTTGCTTTGACACACTAAAACTCTCCATCTCCATCATTCTACCCAACATCTTAGACTTAGCAAAACAAACACTTGAAAATGCCTTATCAGAAGCTACAAAAACCACAAATCTCTTGTTGGGTATGCGCCAATATGGCCTTGCAGAGAGACAAAAAGGAACCATCCAAGATTGCCAAGAATTGCACCAGAAAACCCTAGAATTCCTCCAAAAATCTCTACAAACTTCAAACCCAAAGCCCCAAAATCTCCACAAAATAAGAACCCTTTTAAGTGCAGCTCTTACCAACAAAAACACATGCTTGGAAGGCCTAGATTCAGCCTCTGGCTCTATAAAACCCACCCTCTTGACCAAAATAAACTCCATGTATGAGCTAGTTAGCAACTCTTTGTCCATGTACTCTAATTCTTCTAGAAACCGAGGCCTCCAAAATCGCCGGCTCTTAGCCATTTCGAGCGGCCAGAAAAGTGGCTTTCCGGCGAGATCTTCCAAGAAACGATGTTTTCCGGCGTGGTTTTCCAGCAAAGATCGCCGGATCCTGCAAAGTTCTCCAAGTGATGGCTATGATAGTAGTGACATATTTACAGTGGCAAAAGATGGGAGTGGGAATTACAGTAGTATAATGGAGGCCGTGAATGCAACGCCTAATAATGGTTTGGACAGGGTGGTAATTTACGTGAAAGAGGGGGTCTACGAGGAAAATGTGGTGATAGGGAGCCACAAGCAAAACCTTGTTATGATTGGAGATGGGATTAATTTAACGGTGATAACGGGGAGTAGGAGTGTGGGAGACGGGTGGACTACTTATCGCTCTGCAACTTTAGGTACGAGCCATTCTCCTTTATCTCTCTACAGTTTTGTTTGTTTGTGTCATCTTTTTCAATCTCGCATTTGCCTCTCCCCCTAGGAGAGAGGGTACGTACCAGTGCTGGAATGATTGACTCGGGCCAGCAGAGTAGTGGGCCTAAGTTCAAATACCACGGCCGCCCAAGTTCTGGCCAAGCGAAAAAAGTGTTAAAAAAATAAACAAAAAATACAAAGGAAAGGAAAAATATGTTTAAAGTAAAATAAAACAAATACATATAAATGTGGTTAAAAAGTAGTGAAAGAATGGATTTTAAAGAATCAATTTGTTTTGGGCGTATTTTAAAAATAATCCAAAAATAGAGAAAATGCCAAAAATAAGTATGGGTGCGGTTTGTGTAGAGCGGAGGATTTAAACAATCAAAGTAAAGCCCACCTTCAATTAGTGTCGAGAAATGTGGTTTTAATACTATAAATATTTGTGATAGTCTTAAAATATTTTTTCATCTTTAATTATAAAATTTAAAGCTTCAAAGATAGTATAGATCAAGTAGATCTATGAAAACTTAAAAATCTTGAAAATTGAAAGTCCAAGACCGCGTTACAAAATGCACTATTTCCAAAACTTGAATCTATTTTTTATTTTTTCCTAGTGTCGATGCACCTTGATGTCGATTTGAGGATATTTGGATATCAAACAACCTCTTCTAGTGCAATTTTTTAGGTGAGCTCTAATTTGATTGTATAAAGCCTCGGCTCTGTATTTGGTTTAAAAAAAAACACGAGCTCTATATAAACTTTTTCCAATAAATATTCATGGCCAAAATACTTTCTAATTTTTTCCAAAATGGTAGAAAACATAAAGAAATAATATCAATAAATTTCTTATTGTTTTGTATTTTTTATAGTTTTTTATAGTTTTTTTTAAAATCCCCAAATTGGACACATCTCGGGACACTTCGGTGTGGCGAGTCTGAGTTACTTGGACGAGTTCGAGTCAACTCGCCAGAGAACTTTACATTGGTATGTACAGTTTATGCCGAAGTTGAAGATCCCCAAATTCGACACATCTCGGGGATACTCCGGTGTGGTGAGTCTGAGTTACTTGGACGAGTTCGAGTCAACTCGCCAGAGAATTTTACATTGGTATGTGCAGTTTATGCAGAAGGTGAAGATATTTTTTATTTTTTTAACTAGCTGCATTTGCCTTGCACCTCTGTCTCTCGCTGTGCGTGGCCATAGGAGTGAGGGTATGTACAGTGTATACCCTATCTTTGAGGTTTCTGTTGTGCTTGTCGTTCTGTTGCTCTAGGTATGCTTATTTTTTGGCTTCTTCTCTCTCTGGGAGTGTGCAACTTGTGCGCCCCCAACTTGCTACTTTAGATATCTCTTTTATTTATCTATATATATATATATATATAAAAGCAGAATAAATATAGCAGTGTTTTTTTACTCTCTTGGCCTGAGTTATTTGGGTGACCTCGAGTGTGAATGGACTTGGCCGAGTAGTCCATATTATTTAAATTTTTTTAAAAATAAAAAGCAAAAGACTTTATTAAAAATATCTAAAAATCATCTAAATTGAAGGAAGTAATAAATCATTAAAAGGCTGCAGAAGATGGGGAAAAGAATATATAAAGATAGATTATTTAAAATTTTGGTTTATAGCATTAATGCTTCAAAAAAAATAAAAAATTGTATCACGTGGGAAAAAAGTTTTCAAATTATCTGTACTACCACTACGATCTTCTAAGAACATATATCTAAATATTATTTTCTAAGATTTTTTAATATTGTTTACATCTAAATTTTAGTGTTTTGTAAGTTGCCTTGTAACTTGCCGTAATGCGGAGGTTGAGTTTCTCTGCCAAAGTTTGAGTGGACTTTGCTGAGTTACTCGGGCACAGTCTGAGTGGACTTGGCTGAGTCCTGGTACACTGATACATAGAGTTGGCAGATGACTATATAACCTCGGCATATACAGCATCCCATACATGGAGAGTCCAATCAAGCAATGTGGGTGCAATCTTCCTGTAGGTGTGGACCCCATGATATGCAGTGATAATAGGATCGCCGATAAAATGGACGGTCTAAACACTTCGGTTCAACATAAGCCACATAAGTCAGGTTGTAATTCTTCTTAATAATAACATGGAAAATTATCAAAATATATATGAGAAATTAACTATTTAACATTTGACCCATGCCTTTCTGATAAAATTTAAAAATACCCATCAAATACACAGGACCATAGGTTGGAATAGTTGAAAAAGGGTAAACTCGTAAATTGTTGAAAAATTAAGTGAATTTTGATAAATTTTCCTGATAACATTTTTTTTTTTACCAATTCCCTAATAACATTCTAGGAAGATGTAATTGTCCAGTAATATACTTAGGCTGTGAATTATACCAAAATGTTGTTAGGTTGAGAAAGGCAAGATCCCTATCTAATTATTCTGGCCTGAAATGTAACAACTAGGGGTGTTAATTGGGTTGGGTAAACTGGCGAGCTAGACCTGAGTCTCGATCTTGACCTTTTCTTTTGAGGACCCATTGGGTAAGGTCTAAGTCTAGTAGATCCAGAACCGAACTAGTTTTTGGTAAAGCTCAAGCCCAATCGAGTTAGGGGTCGACTAAACTGCAATCTAGATTTACGTGACCTTGACTAGGACATGCCTTTATTTTCCATAACAAAAATTAGGTCGATGAAACAATCTGCAAGTCAGGTCCAGACCTAGACCCGACCGGGTTCAAGTACTCCAACCAATTTATGAGTCAGGCCTCTGCTGGGTTCCGGCCTGAAGACCTAGTCCAAGTCGTAGCCCCTTCAAATTATGTAACGCAATGTGAAAAATGCCTAGTGGGCATATAGCATCCTCCTTCGAGAGCATACTATACTTCAACTCCATCGAGTAAAAGAGAGGTTTTTATATAATTTTTTTTATTTTAGGTTTTGGAATCCAACTAGATGACTATTTCCAAACAAGCAAACAAAATAAAATGGATTGTGGTTTTTTTCAACACCTAGATCATGTCATCCAAAAATAGGAGGTTTTTCTTCATTCTCTTTGACTTTTTTATTTTTTTTCTAGCACATACAACATGAGATTTGGATTTTTTTTTTTTTGTGGTTGATTGTAAAGCTCAGCAGGTCATCTCCTCAAAATTTTGGGTCCTTCAAATAATTCTAGCCTGAGATTTACTCGAGGCAGGAAATGGAGAGTATGCTCCAGCGAGAGCAGCATATCTTGTGGCAAATGACCGTTATGAATAAATAATGGAAAAAGTTTATGTAAGGTTGCAACTTTAAAATATAGAACTACGGATGCACCTCAAAAATCTTTCGGAAAAAGTTATTTTAATGTTGAAAAACCCTGTGATTGATCATCTCGACATCGAGATGTATGACTATGAAAAATAAAAAGATTTTGAGTAGCAGAAATAATACATCTTACAACATATTATCTACACCGTCCATTTTCAAGATTTTCATATGTTTATAGATCTACTTGATTATAACCATTTTGTAAATTTAAAATTTTATAATTAGATATAAAAATATATTTTGAAATAATCCTAAAAATATTTTACATTAAAATTATATATTATGATAAAATTTGAAGGCACCTTAGTTGGATTGTTTAAGGTTGCAACCTTATGGAAACCACACCCATAAATAATTCGCTTTTCTTAATGTAAACGTCACATAGGCATAGTCCCCTATAACATGCTTCTGGAACTTGAACTTGTAAAATTGTAATTTCTTGTGATCCTTATATTTTTGTGTTGTTCCTAATAACGCTGAATATTTAGTACTAATAAGAAATTTGGTGCACATTAAAGCATTGAAGTTGTTTGAATATAGTTCTATTTGTTATTTATAAAAGGACATCTATTATAATATGGGATTGTATATAATGAGCACATTTACCTTTGATACAAGGAGGTCACAATTATTTACAATTATTAGATGTGAAATTCGATAGCTTTGGTGTGTGACAAGGTTCGAGAGACTTTTTTTAAAAGTTTGAGTTTGGTCAATGAAATAAATGCAACCATCTAATTTTACATCCAATGGTCATGGGATTAGCCCCCTATGTGTTCCAACTTTAAGATATGACTGCATATAGAAGCAGATCGCGTCAATCCGATTGGTCCCCTCATAGGGTTTTTAGCCCTAATTTTCATAAGGTAATCCTTAGCTATCAAGGCTGGTTTGCTACCATGGCCATGGCGCACAGGGGATACCATGCACTAAGATCATTAGAAGTGCCTCTTCATATAGTTGGTCAAGATCAAACAGTTGTGGGTGGGGCCACAAACGTAGCTCGCCCTTCCACTACGTGATGGGGACAAGTCATACCAATGAACGGTCTAGATGTGATAGGCTCATCTATTCACTTTGAAGTGCCCAACACTCTAGGATTTCTAGTATAAAGCATTGTTTCATAAATCGCTTGTCTGTCTCTAGAATCATCTCTAGGTTGGCAGGACCAAAAGGTTGGCTATTTTGGGCTGTAAACCCTTGTATCATTGAAGAAACCCATTGTTTTTTATTGTTTATTTTAATTGTTTTCGTTAATTATAGCCTTGTCTAAATCCTCCTTGCTCAAACCCAGGTAATTGAACTTGGCAGAGTCAGAGCAGTCTTCTAATTTCTAAGCACTTGCTTATATTGGGTAGGTAATCCAAAATCACCCCAATAGTATTTTTCTCATTGTAAGAGTATTTATGTCCATTGTGAAAACCACTTTTGGTGGAGGTTTTATATGAAACAAAGACCCATATGATCGTTTATTGGTAAATATTATATATATTACCCTTTTTGCTTTGGCAAAAGATCACTTACAGGTGGTCTTATTACAATAACATATACTTCAAAATGAAATCAACATAGCAATAAAACCAAGCTCTAAAAAGTTGATGCCATTGAAATAACTATGCACTATGTTTGAGAATAAAAAAAATAAGATTGCAACAAATAAAATAGAATAGTGCCGGAGATGACTTCAACCGGGCT